AATGCAGGCATGTCTCTCCCCTTCTCGGATCAAGTCGATCCTCACGGCAGTCAAGAGAGTGAGAGAAGGCCAGTCACTCACTGTCAAAAAGTTTCAGAGACTGCTGGGTCTAAAGGCAGCTGCGGCCAACGTGATACATTTTGGCCTGCAGTACATGAGACCGGCTTCAGTGGGTAACCAGTCTTGGGCTACAGGGTGATATGGCTGCTGGCTATATATATATGATTTCCTGAAGGGGAACGTCTCCAGGTTATGCATGTATAACCATGGTTCCCCGAAGGGAACGAGACGCTGCGTCTCAGTGCCATACTTCCAGCATCCCTGCAGGCGCTTGCCTCTTTCCTAGAGGCTGACGACCGGTTCCGCCACACATACTTTTATAGCTTCCTGGTCTAAAACCCGTGACATCTCGCCCATCTATTGGACTGATTACACATGTGATTCAGAGCGTGGTCACGCTGAAGGCGTACCCATTGCGTTAGACGCAGCATCTCGTTCCCTTCGGGGAACCATGGTTAAATGCGTAACCCGGAGACCTTTTTCATTTTAGTTTCGAACACCTACTTTAATACCCTCATGTAATAAAAATAATAATATAATAAAATCAGCGTCGCACACCACACATACACTGAACAAAATTATAAACGCAACACTTTTGTTTTTGCCCCCATTTTTCATGAGCTGAACTTAGTTCACATACTAGTATTAGTTTTCAAATTACATATATTCACGTATTGGAAAGGAAATGGATATCTTGTCAGAAGTATTAGGATATGATGCCTGCCGCAACCTTACTGCAAAGTTGTTGTTAAAAAGTCAGTCGTGCAAACAATTACCAATATTTAGCCATTAACCATTTTTCTGAACATAATTTTATATGGACAGAAAAATCATGCTTTGAATCAAGATTGTGACATTGTTAATAACCCATCATCTTTGCAACAGGCTTGCGAGTGCGAATCAAGCAATATCTTCTCTTTTAGATATTGGAAAATTGGAAAACACAGCATGAAAGGATCCTGGCGAGATCAAACATGTATTTTGATGAAGGAAAAGAACATTGGGTCACATAAGAGGTGCAACCTCAGCTTTGCTCATATTTCCATTCATTCTATTACTAACCTGTAATACAGGCGCATTCTCCTCCCAAACTGACACAGTATATACTTATAAATAAACATTAGAATGAACTTTACACCCCTGACCCCTGATATTTTGCATGCATTATGTCTGGGATAAATGAAAATGTCAGTGGCTCCTATACTGGAGATATATGAACAGTAATATGTAGAGTTAATGGGTTTGAGAAGAACCTTTGGCACTGCATACCTGGGTTAATGGTGTTGTGCTTCCTGTGTGTACAGTTCGCTAAATGGACATCCCTTAAGTCAGCAAATAACATAAATGAGGTGCTATTCATTTGATACAGAATATATGCCTTGTGGGAAGATGATGGAAAATAACCACTGAAAGTACTATAGTGACAAACAAAAAGGCATTGATACGCTTTCTGACAGTTTTATACCTTGACAAGCTTGAACTGACTCCCAGTGAAAGGTCTTTTATCAGTAAAACTGCATATAAAAAGGCAAAATGGCCTGTCAAGAATTGAGAAATATTTGACATCCTGATTAAACACTTTTTACATAACATTCTTCATTTTTTAGTTTCTTGCAGCATATCCTAAAAACCTTACATTGCTCAAAAAATTAAAAGCTAAAAAATTAGCCTCATCAGGACTGGAGAATTATCATGTCATGCCCGTCACAGAAATAAATTCAAGTCTGATAAATTCTGTGGAGGAATTACTTCTCAGTTCAAGTTGCCCTTGTAGCATTATTGATGGTGTTGTTAGATCGGCTCATTAGATATGTCTTTTACTATTCATCTTCCAATTACATGTGTGGTGCTTGTTGACTTCAAAGTGATTTCTTATGGTGTACCACCATCAAAGATGTTCAGGAAGAAGACAAAACAGAGAGATTAAAAATGGCTTTTAATGGGTCTGGTAGCACAGACAAAGATCAGATGTGATCCCTTTAGAGTTTAAAATGCTCAAGCCTCCAACCAATATCTAGTACTTAAAATACAAACTGATCAATGAAGAGTGATTTGAAACATTATAACATTATGTGACTATGCATCATCTTTGATGCAGAAAATAAAGACTGGTTGTGTAATCCGTGTCTTTTGTGCTGCTTGTACTTCTTGCTGAATTAACTTGAATCACAGTCCTTATAAAAAAGATTAAAACTATCATTTGCATGATATCGGATTTCCTTTGCAGTCCTGGCTTTTTCCTGTATTAAAAGTTTAAATAGAAGAACCTGTTTAGAACCCAACTACTTTATCAAACTATAATTACAAAAAGTAGAAATGCAAATGAGTTTCTTGGATTTCTTAATGTTACACTGTCAGATATGCAAAATAAATCTATTGTATCTCTTGCTCTGGCTACTGTGTATAGACCACCAGGGCCGTATACAGATTTCCTAAAAGAATTTGCAGATTTCCTCTCAGACCTATTGGTTACTGTTGATAAAGCGCTAATTGTCGGAGATTTTAACATTCACGTTGATAATACAAATGATGCATTAGGACTTGCGTTTACTGACCTAATAAACTCTTTTGGAGTCAAGCAAAACGTCACCGGGCCCACTCATCGTTTTAATCATACGCTAGATTTAATGAACATGACCATTTCCTTGTATCGTGCATGCTGCATATTACTGATATTAACTACACTGTACAAAATTATAAACGCAACACTTTTGTTTTTGCCCCCATTTTTCATGAGCTGAACTCAAAGATCTAAGACTTTTTCTATGTACACAAAAGGCCTATTTCTCTCAAATATTGTTCACAAATCTGTCTAAATCTGTGTTAGTGAGCACTTCTCCTTTGCCGAGATAATCCATCCACCTCACAGGTGTGGCATATCAAGATGCTGATTAGACAGCATGATTATTGCCCTTAGGCTGGTTAGGCTGGCCACAATAAAAGGCCACTCTAAAATGTGCAGTTTTATCACACAGCACAATGTCGCAAGTTTTTTGAGGGAGCGTGCAATTGGCATGCTGACTGCAGGAATGTCCACCAGAGCTGTTGCCCGTGAATTTAATGTTCATTTCTCTACCATAAGCCGTCTCCAAAGGCGTTTCAGAGAATTTGGCAGTACATCCAACCGGCCTCACAACCGCAGACCACGTGTAACCACACCAGCCCAGGACCTCCACATCCAGCATCTTCACCTCCAAGATCGTCTGAGACCAGCAGCTGCTGCAGCTGCTGCAACAATCGGTTTGCATAACCAAAGAATTTCTGCACAAACTGTCAGAAACCAAGCTCATCTGCTCTTAACTGACTTGAGTGGGCAAATGCTCACATTCGATGGCGTCTGGCACTTTGGAGAGGTGTTCTCTTCACGGATGAATCCCGGTTTTCACTGTACAGGGCAGATGGCAGACAGCGTGTATGGCGTCGTGTGGGTGAGCGGTTTGCTGATGTCAACGTTGTGGATCGAGTGGCCCATGGTGGCGGTGGGGTTATGGTATGGGCAGGCGTATGTTATGGACAACGTATACGGGTGCATTTTATTGATGGCATTTTGAATGTACAGAGATACCGTGACGAGATCCTGAGGCCCATTGTTGTGCCATTCATCCACAACCATTACCTCATGTTGCAGCATGATAATGCACGGTTCCATGTTGCAAGGATCTGTACACAATTCCTGGAAGCTGAAAACATCCCAGTTCTTGCATGGCCAGCATACTCACCGGACATGTCACCCATTGAGCATGTTTGGGATGCTCTGGATCGGCGTATACGACAGCGTTTTCCAGTTCCTGCCAATATCCAGCAACTTCGCACAGCCATTGAAGAGGAGTGGACCAACATTCCACAGGCCACAATCAACAACCTGATCAACTCTATGCGAAGGAGATGTGTTGCACTGCGTGAGGCAAATGGTGGTCACACCAGATACTGACTGGTTTTCGGACCCCCCAATACAGTAAAACTGCACATTTCAGAGTGGCCTTTTATTGTGGCCAGCCTAAGGCACACCTGTGCAATAATCATGCTGTCTAATCAGCATCTTGATATGCCACACCTGTGAGGTGGATGGATTATCTCGGCAAAGGAGAAGTGCTCACTAACACAGATTTAGACAGATTTGTGAACAATATTTGAGAGAAATAGGCCTTTTGTGTACATAGAAAAAGCTGTCGCAGTCTGCAGCGGGTGTGCCCAGGAGGGCCACCAGATGACTGTGTTCTGTGAGCACATGGCTTGTGTTGTGTTTGTCTGTCGCCATGTGCTCTCTCCTGTCTATTGTCTTGCCCCTCCCATCTTGTTACCTCGTTATAGTTTAAGTTGATCCACTTGTGTCTCCCTCGTTAGCCTCCTCGTTTGTTTCCCATTTATTCTCCTTGTGTCTGTCATCCTGTGCTGATCCGCCATTTCTCATTGTGTGTGTTTTGTGTCTGCATGTGTGCAGCTTTAGGCCTGCCTGTCTGTTTTTCCCCTTCGGGGTGGTTTGAGTTTGTTTTTGTTTCATTTTTATTATCAAAATAAATAACCATTTCTCCCACAATTGAGTCCTCGCTTCATCTCCCCGCACGCACCGTGACAGGTGGATGGATTATCTCGGCAAAGGAGAAATGCTCACTAACACAGATTTAGACAGATTTGTGAACAATATTTGAGAAAAATAGGCCTTTTGTGTACATAGAAAAAGTCTTAGATCTTTGAGTTCAGCTCATGAAAAATGGGGGCAAAAACAAAAGTGTTGCGTTTATAATTCTGTTCAGTATACTAATACACAGACCATCAATCTGTTTACACTTACTGCTGCCACGATCTCTAAAAAATATACAATTTAAAATAAAAATGTTAACTTTGCACTACATTTACCACTGTACTGGGGTATGCAAATAAGAGTTTTAGTGAATTTGTGGCTATTTGACAATAAAATTAGCTACATAAAGATCACCTACCTTTTTCACTAACACTTTCGATCTCCACATCCTCACAGCTGGTGTATTCAGGCGTGGAGCCACCCTCTTCTTCCGAGCTACTGATGGACATCTGCCTTTTGTTGAGGCCTCGTTTGGGTCTATAGCCTCTAGGTGGAGGTGGCCGTAACGACTCAGATTGGTCCGAACTAAGAGAAGAATCTTTACTCATTATTTCTGCAGCTTTTTCCCGCTTAGCCCTGTGCAGAAAAGCTGCGGACCCCGGTTCCAGATGCCCCTTTGGGCCCCAGTCATGTTCTTCCCTGAGGTCTGTGGGCCCAGCAGGGCCCCCTTGAGGGCCACTGTGGCCCTGTTTAGCGAGGGGTCCTTGTCCCCCAACACCACCCCCCACGGTCCTGTCCATAGAATAAGCTCGATGGTTTTCTAAAAGGGCCTTGTGGTTGTCATTGTTAGCTATTCGTTGCCTGCTCATGCGATTTCCAGCAGCCTCACTCCCATCTTGAATCAATCCAACTTCGTTGATGGCAAGGTCGCTGTGATGACGCTCCTGACGCATTTTGGACACTTTGGCATGCATACGCATTTCCTGTTCCTCCTTCTGTGGTTTTACAGGGTAGCGAGCGAGGTTCGGGTCACTGCGGTAACGAGTCTGGTACTCCTCCTCCCGTCTTTGACGCTCTCGCTCTTCGTCCTCCTGTCTTCTTCGCCGCTCGGGATGGGTGGGCTCATTCTCTGGGTATTCCTGCGAGTGGCAGTTCTCCAGTCGTCTGCTTTCGCGCTTCTCACCTGGAGCTCGGTCTTCAGAGGCCTGTGATGACAACCGGCCAGGGCCTCGCCTTCTCTCTCCACGTCCAATCCCCTTTCCATTCTGCTCGTGCAGGGACACAGGTCTCTTCCTATTATTGATTAGACAGAAGTTGGAAAGAGTGTCAGATATAGCATTTGGAATTTCCAAGTATTACAGCCAATTTGCATTTACAACTGCTGCAATAGCAGTTATTTGTATAATAAATAGCACAACACCTGTTAACCCTTGTGTTTCAAATTGTGGGAATTCAAATCCAAAAAGGATTTAGCTGAATATGCATCTGATAGGAACACAAGCAACAGACGTCATCTTATAAAGAGATTACAAGGCAGGAGCTGCAGTCCACATACTGCCAGTTGAAAACAGGTCAGGATGAACAGATTTTGTTAAAATGTCCAGCTTAAAATAGAACAAACTGTATGTTGACAGTAGGGGTATGTAACACCACATATTTTGAAAATTCAGTTCTGGGAACCCAATGACTAGTCGACTAATTGGCCTTAATGAAGCGAAGCTCTCTACAATTAGGATTGCTTCACATAAACCTGGAGCTGCTTAGAATTTGACATGCTATCTTAAAAACATGGCAACAAGGTCCAATAGCTAACATTAGTTAATGCATTTGGAATGAACCAGTTTTAATTTCGTTGACAAATAATTTTCGTCAACAATATTTTTTTCACCAACGAGACAATAACGAACTAAAACTCTTTTTGAATGACAAAAGCTATGACGTAAATCTATTGACATTTTCGTCAACGAATAAAAATGAGACGAAAATGTTATGGAGGGACGATTTGGGAAGAGATTCATTCAGAACGAATCTGGAATAAAAACGAGACGAAACTGTTAGGGAGGGACGATTTGGGAAGAGATTCATTCAAGAACGAATCTGCTGCATGGTTCCAATCTCCGTGGTTCGGAGGTTAGATGCGTAATTTACATATGAACCGGCGGGACATGAGCTAACATACACTTGCTGCACGTCGCATAAAACGTTCAAAAATGTCAATATGTGGGAGTAAGAGAAGAGCAGACATATGGATAAATCTGACGACACAAGAGAGAACTCAATTCGGTCCGGTTTTCTGAGCACAGAGACTGAAGCATACACACGGAAAGTGCGTCTCACAGCACGCGAGTACTCTTTCGCGTCGCATGAACGGAGAATTGCACACAAAATTATGCTGAATTGTCCATTTTGACGAGTATTTACATAAACACAGTTAATTACATCTGAAGTAAACGTAAACAGCAGGGAGAACGTGTATCAGTACATTGCAT